TAAATGTTGCATCTGGAAATATTTTATTTAGCAAAACACATTGTATTTATTTTTCACAAAATAACATAACACACAATGCTGGCTTAGCAAAGAACCAGGCAGAGCTGAAATATAAAAAACAGTATTAATATTGGATACAACAACACAGAAATAAATGTTGACATTTAGTCTCATTCCCATACGCCTGCAAACACACACAGAATCAGCCCATCTTGGCTCGGTTACATGTCTTGCATTTCATGGCCCTTTATAGATGTCAGTTAGTTTTGTCCATTTAATCCGTCAATCCCAAATTCAATGCTACTTTTAATAAATTGTCTAACACGTTCATTATTGACTCTTTATTTCACACTTAGCATCTCGCTTGGGAAAACCCTGAAGATATACCTCTGCCATCGAGTTATGTTTGGAGTTTTACGTGATCTGGGAGCTTTTAATTTATAAAGAAATACAACAATCATTCGTAATGCTTTTCAAATATTCACTGAAAACTACAGATACAAAGACGTCATCTATAATATTTATTCAATGTTATTTTAGATAGCTCTGACCAAAACAGATGAAATAGTATGATTTAAAATTTCATTTCAGTTCTGAAATGTTCACTTTTAAAGTATATTTGGTGTATTGTGACCAGTTTAATTAGACAGACTGGAGTTGCATATCTTCTGGATATCTGTAGACCCTTCAATCTTCAGTTCGAAAAACTGAACTAAGCCGAGGCTGACGCTAAAACCGAAACCAAGCTAAGTTTACAATGCATAACTAAAGTTATGGTAACAGTAAAATGTACACCTGTCAACCATTGATCAGGGAGGTAAACAGCATAATGCATGTGTTGGTGGATCAGTTATTGTCGGATCGGTCTGTAACTTATGGATTATAAATGTGACACAGTTATTGTTGCTGACTCTGCTTCCTGGTAGTGGAGGCCTGAATGGACCGAAATCTTTTTCCAGGAGGTAAGAGAGAGAGAAGCGTGTGTGTGTGTGAAGGGTTATCCGTGATGTGACAGGTCAATCTCCACCAGGGAGTTGATGGTCAATGGAGAGAGAGCAAAACATTCCCTCCTGAAATCACATCTTTTATCAACACTTAGAGATAAATAGCTGGTTCTACACCAGACCATTACGTGTTGCACCTCCACTCTGCATGCAGCAAATAATGACGTGGTTGAAGCTGGGGACCAATGTCTATGGTTGTGGGTTAAGGTTTTGCATTAAACAAATGTCCTTAAAGTTTAAACATTTTGTAAAAATCAGCGACCACAGTGGGAGTGATTATCTATCACAACATATACAAACATGGACACCAAGCAGATAATAGCATCGTTTAAAACAAATGAAAACACTTTTTAGGCACTTTTTAAAATATTCTTCCTGGAGAAAAAAAACAAAACAAAAACAAACCCTCTGTGAATTGAAACTCTTTAGCTTGCTGTGTACGTGCTGGAACATTCCTTGCTCTATTTCTCCCACTTATCTGAAATAAGCAGTCAATATTTTGGATAACATTTGAGGGTTTGGACCAAAGAGTCCTATTCAAATAAAACAGACAAAGAAATTGCTTTTGCATTGTTCCCATTATTGAATAAGTTGCTTTAACAATAGAGCCTGGTATTACCATGACATTTTCTGGGCTGAAATACTTTGTTCCCATTGTCGTGTCTCAAAGGAGATGGCAAAAATTGCTCCCTCATCTTGTGTATTCCCCCGGCGCTGAGCGGGTCTGCTCTTAATTGTGGTAAAGGCCGAACATCGGCAAGAATCATTTCATCACACAGACACACCAGAAAACAGCTGCAGCAGTTTCTGCAAGCTGCCTTTTCTCCGGGAAACGGCCACAAGCTGCAAACTCCCCCTCCGAAAAAAAGAAAAAAAAACCCAAGAAACGATGTCATCACCCTGGATTTCACGAAATACCAGAAAGTCTGAGTTTTATTATAAAAAATCATCTATGAGCGCAAACAAATGTGAAGCACAAACAGGGCTATTAATTGAAAAGGCAGATGGTCCTTCTGCGGGCTGGACAGCAATGAGCCAGCGCTGTGGAAAACAAAGCATCCGCGGTGACCACGACCCTCCATTTCTGTCGCTCCGACTGGGAGACTGGTTCTGGGCTTGGAAGCCACAAAACTCAAACAGAAATCACCATTGTTGCCTCAGCAAGACACACAGACAGGCTAATTCATAGGAATGAGTTGTATTAGGTTTCTGCAGGGGGAATGTTGTTTATCCACGTCACCATCACTGTTGTGTTTGTCTGTGATAGATGTGGAAATAAAACCACATCCAGCCTGGCCCAAAATCTGCAACGCAAAAATATATTGAACCTATCCACATCACACATTGCATATTAAAGACAAATCGTTCGCCCGTCTGTAGCTTGAGTGGGTCCACCTGGTGAATAAAATGTTCGATTATGTTTTTTTATTCTGTTTGTTTTCAGTGGGGGGGTTACTCAGAAGAATCTTTTGCTTTAAAGACGACTTCCCTCCCAGACTAAGAAACTGGATCCTGTGTTTAATAGTTTGCTGTTGCAGGGATCTGAATGAATGGTTTTCATTCCGTCGGGCTGTAACCGATTGTCCCAGTGACCACAACAAAGGACCAAAAAACGGAAGGAGGGTGAGGGGAGAGAGAACAAACCCAGGCTCAGAAATGAACCGGAGGGTCTTGAGACCAATGACTCAGTGGCTTCCAGAGTCTTCTCCCTTCTGGCTTAGTTTTTGCTCTAAGCTCGTCTGTACCCTGAAACATCTGCTTTAGCCTCACCGCACAACAAGTCGTGGCCGCGTGATCGATGTAAAGCATCATCATACTAATAGGATATGCTGTCTCAGAACCGATGTGGCTTTTTAAGTGCTGCACCAATATATGTAGGAATCGAGACAAGTTTATCTATTTAGTTCTTGTCCAAATAGGAGTAAAAAGAAAAGACATGAAGAAACGTGACATGGCTGACTAGGGAAATAACATCCAGAGGATATCAACAATTATTAGACAGGTGAGTATTTTGACCATAATATAATTGTTAGGCATGTTTTCTAACTCCAAGCTGGACAAACCTGAACTCTGAAAAGTCAAAAATCACCAAGAGTCTGTCAGATGGATGCAGCACTCTTTAAATTGTTAAGTTACCAGGGCGTGATCACAGAGACATCAAACATTTTGCTGCAAATTGTCGACAGTGTCACATGAAATATCTATGGGGAAAAAACACACACATTAATTGTCAAGGACTTGAGGAGAATCAAGTTCTATCATAAGTGCGACACCTAAAGGTACAAGATGTTCAGAACTCTAGAGACTTGGTGAAGGTAGGAAGGATGATAACTGAAGCGTCTACACTGGGCCAAGAACAATCTAAAGACATATTTTTCAAAGGCTTTATGGATGAAACAAGAATGACTCTTGACCACCAGGTGGATGGGCCCATGGGTGGGTCAGGAACGGGCAGAGATCAACTTTGAGTCAGGTGAGCTATCGGTGTGGGCTGGCATTGTTAAAGATGGACTCAAACTTACTGCTAGTTTTTAGAAGACACTTTCCAAAAGAATGATTTTTGGAAATCCCACTTCACATGCATTGAAGCATTCCTCTGGCACCTGACTAGATGACATGCCTCCCTTTCTCACCTGTTTATTGAAAAGTTGTATGTTATAGCTGTCTTTTTTGAAGAATTTCTTCAGCAAAAGTGTCCTTTATTTGAAAATTGTCTGACAGGAAGGGGGCAGAGTAGGGGAAAGACGTAAGGGAAAGAATCGGACAATGAGGTTCAAACTTCCCAGGTCTGTAACCTCGCCACATGACTACCCCGACTTCTACTTGATAATTCCCACTTAAACAGATGAGAGAAAAAAAAGTGAGATGGGGAAAAATCTGTTTTTTTTATTGGCTGTGTAATCATTTTGCACTACAACACTTGCTCAGTAATAACGCATAAATAGATATTATGCTAACACAAAACCTCACGTTGACTTTCTTAAACATTTATATTTTAGGTTTATTAACATTTTGGATTAACCAAGAGAACCTTAGTTGGCAATTAGTAAAAAATAATCCTCAAAAACAAGTAGTAGTTGTGCACAAAGTGTATTGTTGATGAAGTACCAGTAGCACAAGTTCAATACCTATTTTAAGAAATAAAAACTGACTACTTTCTATGTTTTAAATTGTTGCTCCTTTCTTCTTTGAAAATTACTCCAGCTCATTTGGGTGTGTGAACATCAGTTTTCAACCAACACATTCTCCATTGGACTTAGGTTTGGACTTTGGCTGGTATCTTCTCAAAAAAATTCACGTTGCAGCTCTGACTGTTGCGTATTTATCATCTTTGGGTTAGGGTAGGGTGTTAGTAGTACGTGTAGTGAATCAGTGAATCTGACCAGAGCAGCTTTGTCCATGTTGGTTGTACCCACTACATGGCTTTGTTTTATTTGGGGGGGTTTTGTGTGAAATTTTCATATTTCTTCCCTGCTTACTTTTTTAATGTGGGAGCCCATCTCTAGAAACAAAAAAGAAATAGGTGTGCATCAACAGAAGAAGTAAGTCTCTACAGTATGTCCCATCTAACTCTGCTGTTTTAATATACAGTATTAAAATACTTTGGTTGCAATAAAGTTACAACGAAGCCTCATTATAGCTGAGTTTCCTTTAAAAATGTGTGCAAAACATTGTCAATATTCAGCTAATGCTAAATATACATAATTCGTCTATTGCGTTGTTTCCGTTAAATAAGAAACAATTAAAATCAGATGTAAGTTTGTTCACACTACAAGTCGTTAAAAAACATGCTGTGCCGTCATCCTCCTACAACTTCCTGTCGTCTTTTCTGTATGTAGTAGCATCCAGTTGTTGATTGTGTGACTTGTGTGACGTGAAGTGTTTCCATTGCATTTTGCAAAATACACAAATTTTTTATTGAAAAGTGAAAGTTTTTTTGAAATCGCAGTGTTTTCTGTAACATGACAAATTTATTTTTGTAATTCCACTTTGTGCAGTTACACGATCAATGGAAACGCAGCTAATTTACTTTCTTTAACGGTAAATACAGTGTTATTTCTTTTTCTTTCTTGTCAATTCATAGCTGAAAGAGGATGACGTTCTCTTCTAGCTGCTCTTTAGAGGAGAAATCCCATGAGAGCAGCCTTATTTTGATGACTGGATGCATGTGGTAATGCAATTACACTGGATTACTTATTGTCTTGTACTTGATTTGATATGATCGTCTGAACAACAACCTTACAGATGAACCGCAGAGGTCACAACGTTGTCATCGGTTCTACGAGGAAAGATGTCCGTGAGGTTGAGACTATTTCAGGAGGCCGTCGCACCGTGGTTAGATGTGGTCAGACTTCTTTCCTTTCTATGGCCGTGATAATCATCCACGTAAGCGGCGCAAACGTCACAGTGTGTTTCAGGACTGCTTGGAACAACAGAGAGAAACTCCACAATGAATTTTCATGAGAGGAGCCTTAGACTATATTCCCCGATGTGATTGATCCTCTGTATACCTTGGCCGCTGTCCGAGTTCAGTAGCGGTTGTTAAGTCGTTGCATTCGAAATCCGTAAGTTATGGAAGGGCACACTTGTACTCGTTGTGTTTTCCTCTAGGTCACGGTTGAAGTGCTTTTCTAATTGGCGGGCTGTCCATCTCACTAAACTTCAGCAGACCTAATTGATATAAGAAGCCAATAATATCAGTTTTATATTACAAGGAGGACAATGAAATACACAGTAGTGGAGCCACTCATTCATGAAGCTATTTCGGCTGAACGGTCCCAGCTGACTAGTCTGCGGCGCTCACATCACCTTCTTACTTTGAGTGCAATCCAACACTTAACAAGGCTGAAGTCAGGAATCAGCTCCATGGAGAATTTACGTAAAAATGACTTGCATTTGTTTCAGGAAGCTTAGATGTTATTGCAAAACATAACTGCTGCTGTAGTAAAGGGATGTTTTGACTTGTGATTGCCTTTGTAACACAGGCTGGGTATTATTCAGAGGCTATTGTTGAAGCTCCTCTAGCACTGTGGTTTTGTGCTGTATGTGTCTGCCATCTATTGGACTTTTTAAAACATCACTGGACATTTATATGTGTCACAATATATCAATAAAGAATGTTTATGCCTTTTGGTTCATTTGCGATTGGTAAACAGTTTGTAATTCAACTCTTATTCTCAGGTTAAAATAATCCCTTTTGTCCTAATGAGCATGAAATGCTCTTAATCACGAAGAGAGAAGACCAAAACCAGAGTGAGCTGCCGGTGCCTATTGGACAGAAATTGCATATGGCAATGAGGAGCAGCGGTTTGTGAAATGGAGGAAAAAAAAATAAATATTCCCAAATGTATTATAAGAACTCACTTATATCCTATAACATGTGTTGCGGTGGGAGCCAGCGATGAACGCCAGGAAAAAAGAAGGAGTGAGTGAGTGCAGGAGTCGGCCGAGCACGTGCCTCCCGGAGGTCCTCGGGGCTCCGTCTGGGCTCAGCCGCTCCAAAAGCCCCGGGGCTAGCCTGCTGTCAGCCCCCCAGGACCCCGTCCGCCGTGACCCAGACACCGCTGCGACCGCTCGTACCGAGAGGCCTGACCGCTGTCACGCCGCAGCCGAGAGAGCAAACAAACAAGCTGTGACTCACGGGCCTGCTTCCCTCGCCGTCACGTCGACTCAGGAAGCCCGCTTGGTTTAGTCATAGCCGAGGCCCGCAGCGCGCGCGCGGCTCAGTCTTGGCTTATTGGACGGAGAATCTGGCAGAAGACATTTGCTCATTTGTCCCCACACATGTACATGGTTTGCTAACGCTGCTCGGGGACCGCTGCCCCAGTCTTTCTGACTCTGGAGCCAGGAGGACCTTTTCTTTTCTTTTTTTTTTTTACTGGGTAATGTCCTCCCACACAGTGTGACTGTGTGACTTTTTTTTATTGTTCATATTTAGCTCTTTATGTTCCTCCTCTGGGTTCCTGTGGATTTGCTTTAACCGTACATTCAAGCAAAAAAAAAAAAAGATCCAGCCTTATTTTAAACCTCAAACTGAAAGAATTTCTTTAAATGTAAATGACATAGTGGTTAAAATTGAGCTACTGCTTTAGTGTTTTATTATTTTTATTTAGGTTTGTGTACAGAAAATGTCACAAGTCTGTCATGATTATACAACTATGCACTTAATTTACTCCTTTGTGTTATTAAGCTCACCACAATTATCGTTTTCTTTCTTCTTGCTCTTATGATGCATAGCTAAATTGATTATTTTTTGCTCTCTTTAAAAGAATGCAACCATCTAAGGCATCCAGTATTTATTGATGTTAAGGTTCTTGGGTGCAGGAGTTAAAACAAATATGCAAATACCAAAGAACACGACTTTTTTTGTGTGTCTTTTCATGCCAACCACTGGTTTGAACTGCTGCCCTGTGTTTTCACTGAAAAGAGTTTATCCCCCTTACTGGGAGGGTTTATAATCCATCACAGTGCGTGTATTGAGATTATGATGTATTAGTTCTCCCCTTATTTGTCTTTGAAGCATCTGGAGGTTTGACCATGCCCGTCCACAGCGATGATTGCAGTAGTCAGGCCATTACTAACATGTTCCCAGCTCATTTACTGTCTCATCTCCCCCCATGACTTATGGAAAGAAACGATCTGGTTCACCAGCCATGCCTGAGGTCTTTCATTTTTACTGCCGCTCCTTTAAATACTTATCTAAACCTGGACTTCTTTTTTTTTTGTTTTTTGTTTGAAAGTCTAACAGAAATGTCCCCGCTCACCAAATCGCCTGAGGGCATTCAGAGGACCAACATAATATCTTATCCGTCTTTTGACAGATATCGTTAGGCGCAAACACAAACGCAGCATTTTCTAGATGTCGCCATGGAAACGGAAATTCCACTGAGCACCACGAACAAAAGCCAAACGGTCAAGTTAGCTTGATTCATATATCTCTGTTTGTTCGCTAATATTGACATGTCTGAACTTTCAAAATTAGATTGGCTGTCATGAGTGTGGTCAGGGCTATTGGAAAAAGGAATTATGGTTTCGTGATTGTGGTCCGCCACATGCAGTTTTTAGGTCTGTTGCCATTGCAGCAAGAAGGTCTTCAAATCCGAGGCCACGACCTTTCTGGAGTTTGCATGGTCTCCATGTACATGCACGTGTTTTTTCTGGGTATTCCTCCTATTGTTGTAAACGACAGGATTCTGATGCCATATTAAATTTTGTAAAAACAAATACCATAATTTAACAGTAAAACACAAAAGATCTAAACAATGGATGCCTTGATCATATTGCTGCTAATGACAGAAAAACAGTGGTTATTCCTACTCTTGCTCTACTATCGAAAATGTTACCTCTAAGATTTTCACAAGGCACATTTGTTTGCATATTCTTTAACCTTTTACTCAAAAATGGATTTGTGTGCATGCACTCATTAAACTCGGCAAAATATATGATTCTGTAGAAAGATTGAAATATATCTGGTTCTTCTTGCTCAAACTAGACAAAACATATAAAAAAAATACAGACCAATAAAACAGAAAGCATTCAGGCTTTCCCCCAGTACATTATAAGCCTGGTGGGCCACCAGGCTTTACTTGGGCCCCTGTCAAGCTAAAAATTGTTTTTTTTTATATGTGCCTTTTTTAAGACTATATAATTGGTATAGGTATTGTTAATAATGTATTCCAATAACACATAATTACCTAGTGATATATTCAAAATTTCCAGTCAACTTTAAACATTTTTTTAACTCAAAAACATGGTGGATAAAAGCACTACTACACTCTAACAAGAAAAAAGTTGAACTAACTTAATTGAATTGCTTCTGTAGGTAACAAGCAATTCAATTAAGTTA